GTCATCACATAGTATTTATAAGCATAAAATCTGAGCATTTCAGTTGTTATTCTTTGTTCTCTAGATATCTCTTTTGGATTAAATTCTAAATTCTATTTTATGCTACATATTTGTGGGAATAAAAGGAATCACAGATAATTTAATAGTATCACTAATAATTTAATAATAGTATCACTAATGTAGTGCTATTCCACTCCCCTTCCCTCACCTCCTCCTAATTTTGCACTATTCCACTCCACATTTTTCCTTTTTACCCCCCACAAAACTTTACTGAGTATTAAGCACTGTTTTTAAGTCCTGGAGATACAAAGCTGGATAAATACAGTCCCTACCCTCCAAAAACTCATATTCAGATTTTTCCTATCAATAGTCGTTAGTTTCTACTTATTATTTTTATAGTTAGACTATTAAATGATCTGATACTATTAATATAGTGTTTTTAATAATACTGTATTAGCATCACAGATCATTTAATAGTATAACTATAGAAATAGTAAGTAGAAACTAATGTCTATTTCTGGATGAAGAATGCATTTAAAAGCATGTATTTGAGATCTTTTTCTTTTCTTTTCTTTTTTTTTTTTTTTTTTTTGAGATGGAATCTCACTCTGTCATCCAGGCTGGAGTGCAGTGGCATGATCTTGGCTCACTGCAACCTCTGCCTCCTGGGTTCAAGCAATTCTCCTGCCTTAGCCTCCCGAGTAGCTGGGACTACAGGTGCATGTTGCCATGCCCGGCTAATTTTTTTGTATTTTTTAATAGTGATGGGGTTTCACTGTGTTGCCCAGGTTGGTTTGGAACTCCTGAGCTCAGGCAATCCACCCGCCTCGGCTTCCCAAAGTGCTAGGATTACAGGTGTGAGCCACCATGTCTGGCTGATCTTTTTCAACATACATTCAGTTCCTTTACATGGGATAATTCTCACGGGGTTCTTAACTATGTAAGTCTTTTCTATATTCTTTACAGAGTGATGAGTCTATACTCAATGATTTTGACCACAATGTTTATATAATTCTGTAATACCATTTTTTTAAATTAGTTTTTACATCTCCCATAATGTCTGCCGAATAGTAGGCGCTCATTAAATGAGTATGGAATGCATGATTGGATTGAAGTAATAAAGATCCCAAGTGTCTTTAAGAGCTAATTTTAGATAATAATTGGGATCTCTTTCTAACTTTCCATTCTGTCTCATTTCAGTTCCTTCACCTTCCCCTATTTCTTTCTCCCCCATGTCTTAATAGGTTAACTCCCATACGACTTTAAGCTCGGTTCCTATGTTGCCTTCTCTAGAAGACATTCCTGGAAACATCCATAGCAATCAGGACTCTCTCTTTTGTATTCTAAAAAGCCTGTGTATATCTCTATTTCCCTTAGCACCTTGGCAGATGATGAGTTTCTTCAGGGCAAGTTTGTTATTCATTTTTGTGTCCTTGTAGAAAGCCATACAGATATTAGTTCCCATAGGCTTACTAAGGACCAGGTTCTTGCCCTTAATCCTTGCAACAGCCTTTAGAAGTGGAGACTCCATTTTACAAATGAGGAAACTGAGGCTTGGAGAGTTTAAGTAACTTGCTCCAGTCCTCTAGCTAATAAGAGCTGTGGCAGAGTCAGGACTTTGACCTCAAAGTCTGAGTTCTTTAGCACTCTGTTTTCTGACACTAGTTTGGTTCTCAAGAAATGTCTGTGGAGTAGATGAACGTTTCCCAAAGCCACTAAATTAAACAGCCATCGATGCCTTCTCTTTTTTCTCTTATACTTACATGTGTGTGTTTGTGTATAATTGTGTAAGTGGAGGGGGAGAGTTGAAGGGTGACTAAGAGAGGAAATAGAAGGGACAAAAAGAACTGGATCACTAGCTCATGAATGGAACACTAGATAGATTCAATAGTATAGACATATTAAACACTAGAGGCACAAACTTAAAAACACGCACAGAATGAAAGCACGGCTGCTCAACATGACCATCACACCTGGACACTGGCAGTACCCAAGTGGTCATTTGTTACCCAGGTGGCCAACAATTCCACCTACCTGCACACCACTTCAATCTGCTCACCTCCCAGCACTCTTTGCCACTCTCCCCATTCCATATCACTCTACTCGGCTGCTTCACCTCACCCCGCTCCACTCTGCTCCACTCCACGTCTTTCCTCTTCGTGCCATTCCATTCCAGTCATCTTCCCTCACCTCATTTTGCACTATTCCACTCCACACTATGTTTAAGTCCTGGATATTCAAAGCTGAATAAACACAGTCTCTACCCTCCAAAAATTCATATTCGGATTTTTCCTGTCATCAATCATCAAGAGGCCACCCCAACCTACAGTCCAATTAGACTAAGTTAATCCAAAATCATCACAAGCCAGATGCTGTCTGATAAGGAAAACAATGGATACACAGAGATTTTTTTTCTTTTTACACGATTCCAAGCAATTAAGTCAAATGATTTTACTCCTTTCTTATACTTTTCTAGGCATCCTCTGTCAAGATACAGTACCTTTTGAAATTACTTTCAAAGGACAGGCAATTTATATCCCAAGTGACTCATTTTTACTTTCAAGGTATCTAACCACAGCTGTTTATAATGGACTATTATAAAGTTAAAGCTCTTGCTAAATCAAATAACAATCTAGCAGGGATGCTCAGACTAAGGCTTTAGAGTCATGAGAGATGCAACTGTTGAAACTGTCTTTTGAAAGAGCATAGCTTTTACATACTAGCTTTCCAGGACACAGTTAAAACTTTGCTTAAGTTTCAAGAAAAAAACTGGAACATGATGTAGTTGGATGCATAGTCATTCTGATGTCCTACCTGGGAGCTCATATAAACACTACAGTGAATCTCACTTTAAAAAAAGGCTACATGACCCAAGGCTGCAAACGCAGGTCTGGGGCTGGGTCATGTGAGCTCTGTATCACAGTGCTGGGTTGGCCCAGTCATGTCTGCAGAGCTCCAGAACTGGCTGTCTCAGTCTTGACTGCAGCAGAGCCCGGCTACCCTTGGACTTCTCTCTGTGTTTCACAATGATTCAAGCTAGGCAAAAATGGGAGAATGTTCTTTCGCTAAAAGACAACCCTTTAGTGTTCAGGCAGATAAATGTTTATAATAGTTTTTATTCAATATGTTTCTTATTTGACACATTTAATTTTTTTCTGTACTGTTATATATATTAAATGAAATTTCTTGCAAACTGATGTTAGAACGAAGTTTTGGCTAGGCATATTCAGACACAATGAGGAAGTGCTCCTCCAAGAAACATTCATTTCCAAAAGTAAGTGGTGATACTATTTGGCCATGAAAAAGAAGGAAATCAAGTCTTTTGTATCAACATGGATACATTATCTTAAGTGAACTAAGTCAGATATGAAAACATAAACACTGAATGTTCTTACTTGTAAATGAGAGCTACATAATGTGTACACATGGACATAGAATGTGAATTGGCAGACAATGAAAACTCAGTTTGGGGGGTTGGAAGAGTGTGGATAATGAGACATTACTTAGTGGGCACAATGTATGGTATTTGGGTGATGGATATCCCGTAAACCCTGACTTCACCACTGTGCAATCTATGCATGTAAGAAAATTACAATTTTAATTGTAATTTTAACTAAATTTAAACAAATTTTAAAAACTTTAGTTAAAAAAAATAAGTGGTGAATCTCTCACTCATGTGAGTGGTTGAAAGGGTTTGAGAGTTGGGGATTTAGGGTGAGCACAGTGCCAGATGGTGATGGTAACCTTAAGTCATAGCTCTTTTGCTTCCATTTCCTGTCTTCCTTTCCCATTTTCCAAGCCCAGACAGATCTGAAACCATAATTATCAGGCTAGGAGAGGTGGGTGAAAAGCTTGGTGGAGAGTGAGAGAATTTGGACATGTTTCCTTCCCCTACTCTAAGCCCAAACTGGGTGGGGTGATGGGAGAGGAGACGCTAATATTTAAATCAAATTTAGAGTTCACATTATTTCCTGTAGTTGGTATTTTTGTTAGGAAACTGAGAGTAAGTATTGAATTTTAAAGTGATATAAAGTGTCCAGAAAAGTAATGAGTCTTTTCTAACTTCTATTCAGAAGCAAAGAAAGAACTAGGTCACAGGAAAGATTTATAGTAAAGGAAAAGTGGAGATAAAAATAAAGTCCCTTGAGTCATTCAATGTACTGGCTATATTTGTTTTGTGATCAATAATGAAACATGTGCTCACCAGCCGGGAACCATATGCAATGTTAAATTCTGCACAATGCAAAAGATACCAGAAGGCTAAATGGATGTGAAGTCATATGACTTCTATAAATGATTTGGGTTGTTCATTAGGAAAAAGCTGGAGACTGCCAGTGGAACCTTAGCTTTTCTGATGTGCTATAATTATACGTGTTGACAAATGGTGGCCTAGAACTCTGCAAGGAAAGTAAAACCAAGGAGACGAACACCTGACACAGAATCACTATTTGAACAGACTCCTAGGATGGTACCATCCTGCATCTCAGTCGTTTGACTAATGTCACCTTGTGGAGGTGGTTCGAGGATGTTGATGGGGAAGTGACATGTAACTTTTGCTCATCTTTTACTGTGCTCCTGAATCAATTATAGTGATTCTTGAATCTGCTATTGCTTTGGACCCTTTCCCTTCCTTTAAAGCATAAATAATTATGACATATATGCAGGATCGCCTGCAAGGCACTGATCTCAGTTTCTGTTTTCTGGTTTCAGGACATATGTAAGACCATGAACCCTGACTTCGGTTCAGAAAACATGGCCAGCCCGCAGTTATGCTGTGGCAGCCTAATTATCTGCATCTGATGAAGATGTAGACATCTTGAGTGACTTTCAAAGATTTTCATTATGCAAGATGCTTCCCTGTACAATTAGCAGCTAGGACACAGAGTGAGAGTGCCTAATCCCCTGCTGCAGCAGTGGCATTTTCAGCAAAGCAAGTCTTTTCAAGCAATGGGCTTCCTGAGACATGCAGAGACCACACTCCACACCCCCTTTCCTTTTACCTCTTCAGTGGTGCTAAAGAAGGGCTGAGTAGTCGACAAAACCCATGATGTGTCTGTAATTCCAGTCGTGTGCAGACTGGGATGCTGCCTCTCGCTGCTGTTTTGGCTGTAGCTTTCTGCAGTACTTCTGATGAAGGCCTCTGTGGTGTTCCTAATAAGGTGTTCCAGGCTGTCTGGAACTGCAGTAAAGGTAGTAGGAATCTGGGGAGGAGCTGTGTTTCTAGTGCTCCTCACTGAAACTTCTGTTCCCAGGCCAGCTGAGGTAAAGAAAAGACAGTTGCGAAGATTATTCTCATGTTTTTTGAATTCTTGACATAAAAGCAATTTTACTTAGCAAAAGAAAGCCTTTTCAATAATGGGCATGTGATAAGCTTCCGTTATATGAAAAAAGCAAAGGTACTTTGAATGTGTGACAGTGCTCATTTGTCCTGTCCAATTCGCTCATCCTTTATCCAGTTATCAATTTTATACTCTGGAGGCAAAGCTGTAGAAACTGTGCTATCAGAGAAAAACCCAGCTCTGTGTAGAAGACAGGATTAAACTTAATCTATGAGAATTTAGGAGGGTCACTGAATTGGCTTCAGAGGAATCCATGAGTCTCCCAAAACTGCAAAATACTATGTACATGTGCATGTATAACTTTCTGTGGGGTACTGCCATAGCTTTTATCAGCTTCTCAAAGCAGGTGTTAAATAAAATACCAGGTTAGGCAATTTAATGACTTGACTAACTTCACCACAAAGATTGACAATTCCTGGGAAAGTAATGACACTGTTAGCCACAGTGCAAACTGTTTCTAATCCTAACTGTGTGAGTTACAAATGATGAGACTGTTGTATTTTCTAAGCTATCTTCTGGAAGAACAGAGAACTGATTTACAATTTATGAGCTGGTGGGATTAATTTATAGCTTTGTTTTGCAAGGCTGAATTGCCCATATTAAAAAAGCATATTAGTTCATGAGTTAGGTTCACTTAGCCATAATTTCAAAATGTACTCTCCATCTCTTGGGGATCTTGCTAATGTGTAAATTCCGATTCACTAGAGATGGTTGGATCCAGCATTTTAAATAAGCTCTTAGGTGATGCTGATGTTGCTGATTTTGGGGCAGCACTTTGTAGCAAGACCCTAGAGCACACTTGAAGCGCTGAGTAGTTCTGTAAATTATGGTCTGAGGTGGTATGTTTAGATGTTTCTATCAACTTCATAGTGCACTAGAGTTCTATGGGATAGACAAACCCGCAAAACCTTATATAATCAGATGACCATCACTTTGAAGAGTTTCTGGCTAAAAGACTGGGAGAGTGAAGATTTTATTTTTCACTACTCATTTACTGGTTATTTATTCAAACAACTGTTTATTAAACAACTACTATGTGCCAGGTGAGGTCTCCTAAAGAAGCTATTTATCATCCTACTTTCCTGTTCCGGTCTGCCTTACTTAGCCCTCTTTTGAATTTCTTTCCATTCCACTTTCAACTGATTAGTGCATTTCATATAATAATGTAGGTAAAGAAGAGGGAGACGAGGGCACAAAAAGAGGATTAAGATGGAAAAGGTATTTTATAATTTATCAAGATATAAATATCAGCAGTTCTTCTAAAAGTTAAAAAAATAATCTTGGCTATAAAGCATCCTTTCCTTGAGATGTAGAGGGTTGTGCAAAGTACCTTGTACATAAGGTTGATGAATTTACAAATAAAAATACATTATGTTCAGTTAAATTATAATTTTAGATAAATAGCCAAACAATTTTTAGTATAATTTAGTATATTTAGTGTATCCCAAATGTACAATTACATAAAGATAATATACTGTATATTAGTAATATACTGAAGATTACTTGTTATTTATCTGATATTCAAATGTAACCAAGTGCTGTGTATATTATCTGGCAATCCTACTTGTACATCTACCAGATCTCAGCTTTGATTGATTTGTGGATATTCCCCTCAGTTTGTTTGTTTTTATCTTTCCAAATCTTGTGTCACTGTTACTGCCTCTGTGCCCAGATTAGCCACTCTGGACAAAGATCAGGAGATTTATTCATCCTTGGGGTATTTTCTACATGACAAACTCAATTATACCATTGGTGAAATTCCTTTATAACAGACTCCCGAGAAACAGTCTTAATTCTGTAGTCTTACTTGAGTTAGGTGCTTGAATGTTCCCTTAAGTAGACATTTGTCTATTGTAGGGATGTAAAAATTTCTGTACATGGGGATTAGCATTTGGTTGATTTGAGCTTTGGTTGATACTGATCCTCTGAGTTGACTGCTATGTATGACAATTTTAGCTCTTAGACCCTCAAAAAAAATTTAACCATGGGGTTAGGACAAAAACAAGCTTCTAAATACCTAGCATGTAATTACATGTCTTAGTATGTCAACCTATGCTTACTCTTCTTCACTAAGGAGCTGTTGGTAAGTTTTTAATTGTAAGGCACTTTTATGTTTTGAATTTTTTATGTTATAAACTTTTCTCATGTTTTACGAACTCTTCACATAAAAGTAATTTTTTGCTAAGCAATTACTTAGCAAAAGAGGGCCTTTTTAAAAAAATTAGCTTACATAATTCAGTAGATGAAACTGGACTTTCCCAAAATTAGATAAATTTTCAAAACACTCTTGAAATTTCTTCTGCAAATAACATAGACTATTACCACTACATGTAGCTTTGGACTATCTTATGGAAAAAATTTCAGTCTTCTGTAATTATCTTTGATTAATCTTCTAAATATATTTTTAAAACATCCCATACCAAACAAGTTCATTTTCCATTTTAGACTGCCACCTTTTTTCCAAAGAAAGAAACTACAGAATATTCAGGTCCAGTACCCTTTCATTTTGTGTCTGTGTTTTTAACTTGTGCTATTTAAAAAGCAAGAAAGAAGATTTAGTGTTAACATTCAAGTTCCAAATTTTGTCAAATTTAAAGCAGTGGTTTGCAAACTCTGGTAGGCATCAGAATCACCTATGGAGCTTATTAGAATATTGAAGCCCTGGTCCTCCCCTAGAAACTGCAATTTAGCAGACTTGGTGTTGGACCTGAAACCTGATTTTCTAACAAGTTTTTCAGGTGATTCCTAATATACATGCATGTATATGGTTTTAGTCATAAGCATAATATGAACCAAAAAGAAATTAGAATCATCTCTTATGTGGGTACTGAAGGATTATAAAACAGATGGAAAGAATGAAAATCCATTACAGAAATATATAAGATGATCAAATTAAGTTTATTTTTCTATCTCCTGAACTCTTGAAATAGGTGAAATGAAATTTTATTTTAAAATAGTAGATCTTTGGATATTTTGGTATCCATGAATTCTTTGGATGTTCTTAAAAAATCTATATACATTTCACAGTTCATGAATTAGCAAGATGTTTTGACAAATGCAAGGAAAACGTCTCATACAATGGAACAATATGCAAAAGCTATTTTTGAAAGCTTTATTGTACCATTGTTACTATATTGTTTCCATAACACAATTTCTCCCAGAACACAATTCAAGGTAAGGTAGACCATTCTTGGTTAATCTAAAAAGTTTTAGCATTCGAGTTGCATAAAGCTCTTTTTATAGGGTACTATCACCTTATAAAGTGATTTGTAATGGCTACATAATATCAAGACCACCTTTCAAATTCATTTTTACAAGAGCAATGTGTATTTTATCTTATAAATTAATCTATGATTGGCTCAGAAATAAATTTTTTATGATTATAGATATATATAATGTATATAACATATATAATCTTTATATATATAACATGTACAGACATATATAAAGATTAGATATATATTATATATCTAATTATATTATATATCTAATCTTTATATTAGAAAGTAAAATTAATAAATGGAAATTGATACTAAGACACAGCATAGTAAAAGACCAAAGCATAGCACAGGAAAAAAATCACATGAAAAAAATTATTGAAAGACTAACTAAATCAAAGATATATGTTTCAAGAACCAACTATTAATAATTCTAAAAGCATCAAGAGACAATAGATGCTGGAGAGGATTTGGAGAAATAGGAATGCTTTTTATATAATCTTTATGTTTATTATACATTATGTATAATATGTAATATATAATCTTTATATATAATATATATAAAGATTATATATAGATTATATATAAAACATATATAAAGATCATATATATAATATATAAGATTATATATAATATATAATAAAAGGTTATATATTATATATATATTTTACAAATATATATATATATATATATAATATATATAGAGAGAGTGTTTCCCTTCTTTAAATAATACAAATAACTTTTAAGCATGTTGAAAACAAAATAACTTGAATGAAATTCATTTTTGGAATAGAAGATTTTAACTATACTGGTACTTTCTATTCTGTAGGAAGATGCCAAATATAATGTGCCTTTTTAAAAATGAATAAATCATCTGGAAAAGAGATAAGAAATGAAACAGGAGATACTTTAGAAAAGGATTATATCTATCTGCCTGTCCGTCTGTCTGTCTGTCTATCTATCTGGTTGGCTCTTTGTATCTGTAGGTTCCGTATTGGTGGATTCAACCAATTGCAGATCAAAAATATTAGGAAAAAAAATGGATGGTTGCATATGTATTGAACATGTACAGACATTTTTTCCTTGTCATTATTCGCTAAGCAATACAACAATTTATATTTACATTGTGTTAGTGTTATTAGTAATCTAGAGATGATTTAAAGTATACAGGAGGATGTGTGTAGCTTATATGTAAACACTGCATCATTTTATATAAGGAACTTGAGCATTCTTGAATTTTGATGTCTGCAGGAGGTGCTGGATGCCATCCCCCATGTTATTAAAGAATGACTGTATACACACACACACACACACACACACACACACACACACACACACACGTGCATTAATAAAAATTTGACTGGAATACATGGGAATAATGGACTAAATAATTATTGAAAATGCTTAAAAGACTCATTAACATTTCAGAAAATATAATTAGTGAAATAAAGAGTATGCCTAAAGATTTAAACATAAGACCTAACACCACAAAAACCCTAGAAGAAAATGTAGGCAATATCATTCAGGACATAGGCATGGGCAACTGGCAACAAAAGCCGAAACTGACAAATGGGATCTAATTAAACTAAAGAGCTTCTGCACAGCAAAAGAAACTATCATTAGAGTGAACTGGCACCAACACAATGGGAAAATATTTTTGCAATCTACCCATCCGACAAAGGGCTAATATCCAGAATCCA